GAGATACAACTATTTGAAAATCTGGAATCTGAGGGTGCAAAAAAATCTAAATATTGAGAAAATCATCTTTAAAGTTGTTCAAATGAAGTTCTTAGCAATGCATATTACTAATCAAACATTAAGTTTTGATATATTTACGGTAGGAAATGTACTAAATATTTTCAAGGAACATGATCTTTACTTAATATCTTAATGATTTTTGGCATAAAAGAAAAATGTATAATTGTGACCCATACAATGTATTGTTGGCTATTGCTACAAATATCCCCCAGCGACTCAACACTGCTTTTGTGCTGCAGGCTCACATATGAGTGATTTAAAGATAGAGATATGTCAAATATGTATTTTCTGTAAATAATGTTGCTATGACGTCTACGTTTTAGAGACCAGTGATATTTTACAATTCTCAATACCACAGCAGAATACTAGGGTAACTAATATCAGTAAAACAAACAAACAAAAGTCTTCAAAATGATTGAAAATACTTAAACTGTCAGTAATAAAAAAAGTAAAGTACAAATACAATAGAATAAAAAGATACAAATGGAACAAGCTATGCTTTAAGGTTTTTTTAATGCAAGTCTAAAGTATTCAGTTAACAGCCTACAACAGCATAGTCTTCACTGTAAGAATTACACTTTCTTTGCTTCTTATTGAAGCTACAAAAGTCATTACAAGAGTGATTTTCTTGTTTGATTAATATATTAAGCACCCAGTCGGCAGCAGGAATATTAGCCTGCTGTCACTTTAAGAGCCACACTGATCCAATTTACTGTTACACACATGTTTTCATTTATTACATAACTGACGAGGGTTTACATGAATAATCACTAAGCGCCGCATTTTGACAATTTTGTGTGTATTTGACTTGTATTTAGGTGCACACTTTGAGCTAAAAGATGTCTGTGTTGTGTTCCGTCTCTGAGCGCATGCACCGAAATCCTCCTGAGGAACAGCACAAGCTCTCTAAACATGAATAAATCTAATACACTTTAATAAATCAAGCACGTCCCGTTTTGCAAGTCACGTTACATGATTGTACTGATTTGCATGTGAAATTGGGCTTTTATGGAGGAGCGAATGGGGCGCAATAATCATTTTATCTCGATTACTGTATTTTCATAATCGTTGGAGGCAGAAATTGAAATCAAAACCATATTTCGATTAATTGCACAGCCCTAGTGAGTAATGGTTGTGCTCTCTCAGTTCACAGTGCGACGGTGAACAGCCTGTCCTTCCATCCGTCTGGAAACTACCTGATCACGGCCTCCAATGACTCTACGCTGAAGATCCTGGACCTGCTGGAGGGCCGACTGCTGTACACGCTCCACGGCCATCAGGTGACACGCCGAGCTTTACCTTCTGACACTAGACCACTCTTTTTCTGTGCTGTCCTCAAACTGCGTCCCAGTGCGGCTGTGTTGTGTAGTAAGTGAAGCTGCGCTGCATCAGAAACATGCTGTATGCGCAAGACAGAGCCATTTACTTAAGGTGAACATGGACCTTTCCACTACTTTTCAATGAACTTTGAAAATGAAAGGGCTTCCATGATACAGAAAACACATGTATGACACGGAATGCCACGGAATTTGACAAATTTTGGATGAATAAATCGCGATATGGACTAGTATTTGTAAATATTAAGCTGCAAAAAGTCTATTTAAATAAGAATCCTGTGTTCTGCGTGTCTCTGTGTGAATGAATGGCGCAGACGCGCGGTTTCGTTTACTACACACATACTGAAGCGCACGACGCTCGCGGTGATTTCAGCGTCTGTCGTCTCACTAAATATATGAACAACATCTCCAGAACTGCTCTGAGAGTCACTTCATGAGCACTTTACCCTTTCATTTGAGTAACACTAGCATCATATCAAATACAAACAGAAACTTAGACAACCCGTCAAAATAAAAATTCAGTTTAACTTGAAGAAATTGTGACAGAAATATATTATTATTGTGCAGTAGAATGTACGTAATACTACTACTACTACTACTACTACTACTCATAATGAATTATTAAAACTTTATTTTTTAAAGAATAATGACACTATATTTCTTTCATGTTTTCATTTTAATAGTAAACCCTCTTTGTTTGACAAAAACAAAGTTTTATTTCATTTTCATTTCATTTAGTTTTATGCCTTCATTTAATAACCAATAAAAATGTAAATACACAACACAGAATTTCTTTAAAAAAAACAAAACGATTCATAGGACTATTGTAAAAATACATTTTAATAAAGTTGTTTTTATGCATTCAAACTAGGGCTGGGCGATATAGCTAAAAAAATATATCAACGATATATGTTTCATATCGTTCGTATCGATAATTGTTGACATTTTTTATAACCTTTTTTAAAACGGCAATATAATTTTTTTTATTTAATCACTGTATTTTTAATTTGCCCAATTTATTAAGACAAACAACAAATATATATATATACAGTATATATATATATTTTGTGTTTTTAACAGTCAAACAAAAACGTGCATAACGTCTAAATTAACATGTATAAATCAAATATAATTTTGTCAACTGCATAAACAATTATGAACAAAACCGCATCATGTGTTAATGCATTGCTTAGCCTAATACAAAGAGCCAAATCGCCGATCACACACATTGCGTTTAAAAATATAAGAGATGCAGTGAAATGAAATAAACCTTCACAAATTTGTTGCGTTTTGTAAACGTTAAAACTGTTTTAACTTTGCATGACTTCTTCTTTGCATCTCTTGCATGAGACGCGAGTGCAGCAGTCATATTTGTCCGTCTAAAAATGTTATGATGAATATAAAAGAATATGCGTTCTGTGTGAATGGCTTGGTTTCGGTTTTAACCTAATCAAGATCTCCACATTGAGCTTCTGTATTTCTCTAATATTTTGAACGAATAATGCAGCAGCAGCACGTCTCGTGGGCTAGACTTATAAAACATTAAAATGCAACAACGTCACTTACATCATCATTACCGCATCTCGCGCTCCACTGATGACGTTCCCAGACGCACACCTAACATTCGATTGTACCATTTTTGCATTCAAATGCAAATGTTTATTTTCAGTTCGACTAACATTCACTTATTTATTCACAATCTCCTCATCACAGGCAGGCACCGCACTCATACACGTGCCTATATCATGCGCTATATCGAACATTTTTTATATCGTTATCGATGAAGGTGTACCGTTGATAAATATTGATACCGTTTTATCGCCCAGGCCTAATTCAAACAATTAAACATGCAGGGTAACACTTTAGTATAGAGACCAATTCTCACTATTAGCTAGTTGCTTATTAGCATGACTATTTATTAGTGCTTATAAAGCACATATTCTACGAACATTTTCTATGAGCATATTCTACATCCCTCATCCTGCCCAATACATAGACTTAACAACTACCTAACTAACTATTAATAAGCGGGAGTTTATTGAGGCATAAGTCGTAGTTAATGGTTTGTTAATAGCGAGAACTGGACCTTAAAATAAAGTGTGACCCAAATGCTTAAACACAGAATTTGTCAACAATAAAACAGAACATAAGAATAAATAAAACATTGCATAAGGCTCTAAAAATGTCATTTTTATTAAACTTTTAATAAATGTGTTAAATTGTATTTATGTTTCATGATTTGTATTAAATAGACGTGCTTTTTGATTAATAAAATATCATTTAACCATTAAAAAGGAGTCCAGAAAAATTTAAACGGAGAAAAAAAAAATGGAATCCAGAAAAATAAAAATGGAAATAGTGGAATTTGGAAAATAGTTTGGCCCCCAAATTAGTAGTTTTGGACACCCTTCTTGCTGCACTAAATCAACAGGCAGATTGCTCCACACATTATTACATGATGCACATAGAGATTTGGTGCTAGCAATGACAAGGTCATGACTTGATTTCTTAAATGCAGTGTATGTCGCTTTGGATAGAAGTGTCTGTCAAATGAATACATGCAAATAAATGCGTAAGATGTAAGTTTAATCTTCAAGGCACTTCACATGACAACCAGTGTTTGTGAAATATGCCTTTGTTCAATGGGTCAAAGTGTATGTTGTCCTGCTCTCGTTGTGCAAATTAATGAATTAATCACATCGCAGAAGTGATGATGATCTGTTCATACCAGCGCTGTGGTATTTTCCCTTCAGTGGAGCGTTGGCTAAATCAGTCCTGTCCTAAGAGTACTGAAAACTGACCGCCTACCCATTGATGGTGAGTCATATGCAGTACAAACCTGAATGCTCCTGGTTAGCGTTACAGTGTAGCGAACGCCTGCTAGCATCAGTGGGAGTGAGATGAGTGAATAACCTCGGCCTTCAACACAAACACACTGAGAGCTCAAAGAAGCTGGAAATAAATGCAGTTGGTGAGGAATGGAGCACTGTGATTGGACGGTCAGCTTGTTCCTTACCAGCGAACTGCACTCAAGTCTGCTAGAAAAGGTGGTTTGGGGTGGATTGGCATACAATTCCACATTGCTGTGAACCGCTATTGATGTAATTATGTTTGCATGCTCCTGCTCGCTTATTATTGCGTGATGCATTCCTCATCGCTGCTAGTCTCCAAATAAATGATCTTCAGAGTGCAGCTGGCGTTCTTCTCATCAGCAGCGATGTGTTTTTGTGGTAAACCTCAGCGCTTAACTAGCTACAGCTGCTGCTAGGTTTCACACCGATGACGGTTCAGACTCAAAGAGGAAAAGAGACCTGCGGGATTGGAGCTGAACTCACGTTTGGACCTTCGAGATGCTCGCTGACCATCAGTGGCCTATTTGTGGATTGGTCTCTGACAGATTTATGGCCTTTGGGGCTGATTCGAGGGTCTGAGGTCTCCGTCCCATCTGCTGCTCTGGACTATGAAGCGCTTGTGTTGGCCTCTCCTCACTGACCTCATCTTCCTACACGCCTGTTGCATAACTTCCCACTGAAAGGCTCTCGTTCAGTCCACACTCGGAGCTGCGCACTCAAACGACTGGTGTTGTTTTCCCAGCAGTCTGTTTGGCTTTTAAATGAGAGGTTCACCAGCACCTCCAGCTATTCCAACACCAGACGAGTAGCTTAGGTTTATGAGAGACTTATAAACTTATATGAGAGACTTAGGTTTATGGTTTTTCAGCTTCTTCTTCCAGCATTTGTTTGGAAATCACATGTAAACGTGCCTTTCCTCTATCTCAAACATCATAGTGGTCCAGTCTATGATGTGTCCACTGAGACTGATAAATCAATCCAGTATGTGTTTTAGTTTTAAAACTTGCAGGATATTGCATACTAGGGCGGCACGATATATTGAAGTTATCGAAATATCGCAAATGTAAATATCGCAATATGCATATCGCAACGGCGTGCGATATCTGAATCATTTTAATAATAGGCTACTTAAATCAAAACGTTGCAAAAGGTCAAAGACTATAGTTTTTGCTGTGGTATATGAAGAAGTACTTAAAGTGTGTGGAAAGCAAAGTTACAATGATATAAAATTAGTGTCATTTAATTTTTTTGTTTGTATGTTCACATTGATGTTAAAATTACATTTTCTGATTTGTGACATTACTTTTTATGTAATGGTAAAACATTGCTGGTCACTTTCAGAAGTTATAGGGATTCTTTTCCAAGAAAGAATGTAAAACAAATTGGTTATGTAATTTTCATTTTAAAATATTTTTAAATATAATTTAAATTGATTTTACACGCGTTAAGCAATATCGTATCGCATATCGAATATCGCATTTTTTAAAAAGGTATCGCATATCGCATTTGTCTTCAATATCGCACAGCCCTATTGCATACCTAAACATATTTTGACAGCATGCAAACAGCTTTGTAAGCAGTGAATGTGTTGCAGCTCACTATCACATTAGTTCCTCTGCAGTGGCTTCCTTCAGGGTACGATCGGTTTCGCTGGAAACCTGTTTGCAGTTACACACGCGCTTGATCAGGAGAAAGGGAAAGTGCCATTGGTGCTGTAGATCTCAAATGATCTGTTAAACAGCCAAATATTAGCCGTGTTACACTAGCTTCTAAATCAGCTTCAGAAATACCCAGTGCATCTGATCAGTGCCGTGGCCTGTATGTTCATTTATGCCTCACGTCTTAAAGGGGTCATCGAATGCAAAATTCACTTTTACTTTTTTTTTTTTAACATAAATGTGTGTTGGCAGTGGGTGTACTCAACCACCCTATAATGATAAAAATCCACCCAGTGTTTTTTTTTTTTTTAAATCCCAATAAATGAATAACCCCTTTTTCATATCAAGCTGATCTCATATTCTTGGCTGTGTGACGTCACACAGACCCAGGCCCCTCCCACAATTATGGACCCTATTCACAAGACTGATGACG